TTTGTAATTTTGTTTTTAGCGCCTTTGAGGTGCTTTGGTACCATGAGGTGCAAGCATAGTCGTAGTACCCTTGAATGAGTGCTCCTGCCAGAGTCTTCAGGGTATTCTTGTTTACCAGAGAGGAGATCCGGTACAAGAATCTAGTTCGTTGGTTTACTTTTTTGATTACATTGGATGCCATTTTGTTACAGGAGAGATTTGCCTCTAGTATGGAACCTAGGTATGTAATTTCATCTTTCCTTGTGACAATATTGTCACCCACTGTAACTGAGAAGCCGTCAGTCTTGCTGAGTTTGTTTTTTGAACCGAAGAGAATGGACTCTGTTTTACCCAGGTGTAATGATAGTTTTTTACCGGCGAGCCAGGTGCAGATGCTGCCGAGTTCCGAGCTAAGGGTTTTTTCAACCTGCAACCTGTTCCTGTCAGAGACCAGCAGGGCTGAGTCGTCCGTGAACAGGAACACGTTGCAGTCACAAGCTGACGACATGTCATTTGCATAAATTAGGAACAGTAACGGTCCTAGTATGCTTCCTTGTGGAACACTACAGCTCACTGGGAGAGGGGGGGACAGAGTTGATAGACTATCAAAACCAATTGCTTTTAGCTTGTTAATCAGAATGGAGTGATTGACAGTGTCGAAGGCCTTTTGTAGGTCCAGCAAGACCATGCCGCAGTATTTGCCCGCGTCCACCTCTTGTTTGATGTGGTCGTTCAAATAAAGAAGGCATGTGTCAGTGGAGTGGGATGTTCTAAAGCCAGATTGGAATTCGTAAATTAGATTTTTTTCCGCGAGGTACTTTTCGACCTGTTCATATACTATTTTTTCCATGACTTTCGAGATGGAGGTAAGTATAGAAACAGGGCGGTAGTTGCCTGGGTCCAATTTGCTGCCCTTTTTGTGCAGGGGGGTTACTCTCGCAATTTTGAAGTCTTTGGGTACTTTTCCCTGTTTTATGGAGAGGTTTATTATGTGTGTGATGACTGGGGTGATGGCGGCTGCTGAGTCTCTGAGGAATTTGGAGGGGATATTGTCATGGCCAGTGGCCTTGTTAGGTTCGAGGGCGCTCAGTTTTTTGTGTACCTCAGCTGTTGTTACCATTACTAGTTTGAAATCATCTTTGCGTACCCCTAGCTTTTTGTAGTAGGCTAGGATGTGTTCTACCCCCAAATGCCCTGAGTGGGAGGGTAGTTTATTTACCAGTGTTGTGGCTATGTTTGTGAAGAAAATGTTTAAGTAATTGGCCACATCCAGCTTGTCTGTGATGAGCGTGTTATCTGTCTTTATGTTTGAAAATCTGGTTTTAAGTTTGTTACTGCAGCCTAGTTGATTATTGAGTAATTTCCAAAGTTCACGGGGTTTATTTTTGTTTTCCTCAGTTTTGTTATTGATGAAATTCTTTTTTTCAGTTTTGATCATGGAGTTTACGTCATTTCTTAGTCTGTTTCTTTGCAGTTTGAGTTCAGTCACGTGGGCCTGGAGTTCACTGCTCGAGCTTTTGGTAAGCTTTGACTGACTTTTACGAAACTCAGAGCATTTTTTGTCTCTGGTTTTCATAGCGGTCAATATTTCGGAGTGCATCCACGGCTCAGCGCGATTTTTTACCCTGGTGGTTCTTAGGAGGGCCATGTCGTTTAGTACTGTTGAGAATTTGGTTTTGAAACCAAGCCATGTTTCTTCAACCAGTGTACCACTGAGCTCCTCTGACCAGTCCAGGCTCTCCAGTTCTAGGTTAAAGGCCTCGCTAGAGTAGGTTTTGAGGTCTCTAGATGTGACTGTTTTGTGACAGCCGGCCTTTTGTTTTAGCTTTTTGCGGGTACAGAATATCATATAATGATCGCTTAACCCGCATGCTATAACCCCTTTACTGGAGATCCCGGACCTGTCAGAGGTCAGAATAAGATCAATGGTAGTCTGTGTTGATTCACATACCCGGGTGGGTTGGGTGATTAGCTGGCTGAAGCCGTGCAGATCACAAAACCTACTGAAGGACTTGAAGACGGATGCATCTTTTCGTTGCATATCCGTGTTCCAGTCTCCAATAAGAATTGTTTCTACATCCCCAACTCCAGCCAAACACCCATCCAGTGTATCATAAAAGCCACTCTGTTCTGGCGGTCTGTAGATTGTGCTGACTAATACTGATTTAGCCCGTTCAAACATAATTTCAACCCATACAGTTTCAAAGGTCTCGTGATTCAGGTCAGTACGGATAATGAATTTGGTGCCTTTATGTATGTTCATGCAGACACCACCTCCATACATGTTCCTGTCATTTCTGACTACTGAGTAGTTCTCAATTTCTATTTCTGGGTCTGTCACAGAATTGTCAAGTTTTGTTTCTGAGAAGCATAATATGTTTGCCTTACTGTTAATGAATAATTGCCTGATTTCAGCCAGTTTGTGTCTCAGGCTATTTGTGTTTAGGTGAAATATATTAAGTCCATTTGTGTTGGTTATTTGATTGATGTCGTCAGGCTGGAGGTATTTCTGTTCATCTATGTCCGGTCCTGCGGTGGGGGGAGGGGGTGCTTTGTTGTTCTCATCCGGTCCGCGAGTGGGCAGAGAGAGAGAGGGGGGGGGGGGAGAGAGAGAGAGAGGGGGAGGGAGAGGGGGGGAGAGAGAGGGGGGAGAGAGAGGGGGAGGGTGGACGGCGGGGACCTCCGGTCCCCCGTTCTGGGTTGGCTAAACTGGCTATGCTAGCCAGCCGGCCATCGGGCGTTGAGACATTCGTGTCCCGCGTCGAGCCGGTCGTCGAGCTGTTCATCATGGTGGCTGCGAACCTCGGTTCCCTTCCTCTCGTCTCGGCCTCACGCGTGTCAGTCTGCTGAGGCGTCTCCGGAGGAAAGTCGCCGTCCGCGCTGCGGATGTAGCCATGGGGCGCCTCCTGTGCAACCATACCAAGTCTTCTAGCTTGAGTTCGCGTCAAAACCGGGCCTGGATTTAATTGAATGTCTCCCGAAAGTAGCAGGACCAGGATGATCATGGTCCTTCGGTCCAATCTGCCAGACGGGGGTAAGTTCTTACGTACCGGGTAATGCGTGTAGAGACGCAGTTCCAGCAGCTAAGTGTTTCTTTTCCGAGCCATTGAGAAGGTAGAAGTCACTATGGGTCTCTTTTTCTCCGCTTTCACTTCTCTCCACTTCTGATTGGTGTTGCTTCATTCATGAATTGAGGTATGAGTCCGTAATCCATATTAGCAGGAGGAGGAAATGTGCACAAAACCGTGTTGTTTTGATTCTATGGTGATGCCACTGTTCCTGGCGTCTGAATGAGACGCCATGTTGCAAATTGTGTGACATGATTTGTATAGATATCCAGGGTTCGAGGTTATGTGGGAGCCAATGGGAGCTGAGCTCCCATAAGGAGGGCTCTGAGCTCCCATGAAAGCAGTGAAATCATACATCTGTGGGGGTCGCTAATACATTACTGTTACGTGTCGTAGTGGGTGCTGTAGTGGGTGCTGCCGTACTGGTGTTTGTGTGTGTCTCTCTCTCTCTCCCTCTGATTGTCTCCAGGTGCAGCCTCTCCCCCAGGCGCTCCCAATTCCCAATCAGGGCCTCCATAAAGGGCCTGAGGAAGGCTGCAGTCGCTCTCTCCTTCTCCTCTGGCTGCATGTGTGCAGCATGGTGTCTCTGTCTCTGTCTCTCGTTAATTATTAGGAGATGTGCTCCAGTATATGTTTGTACCTTAGTTTACTTTGCAAGCTGGCTGGTCGAGCCCTTTTTCTCTTTGTCCATTAAAAGACCTGCTTGTGGCTTTAGAGATCAGCTTCCTCCTTTTTCTCTCGCCTGGTCATTTTATATTTGTGTTACTTCCCTTTGGTTCCCCTAGCCCAGTAGGGAACGTAACAATTACCAACAACCATTATTTGAATCACAAATAATGCATGTGTCAATGTAATGAGTATTATTTACGTTAACGTGGTAAATAGGCTAAAAGAAAAACATGTTTTCCAAAAGAACTATGCATCGTATTCTCTCTTGAATGACAATATGCCTGCACTTCCCCTCCAAGGTGCGCAAAAAGTTAATAATAATAATAATCTATGCCTGGGAGCGTGCTGCATAAGCCGAGATGATGTGGTGTGTGGTGTGCGTAGTTGAACCTTTTCATATTTAAGTTTGTAGCAAATAGAGTGTGTGTATGTGTGTGCGTGCGTGCGCACACGTTAGTTTTAAAGATCCCATAAAGCTCAGATTATAACTCGGACCCTGGATATGGCCCTATAATATATTGTTCAAATACAACATAATAGGTGACCTTTATAGTGTTGTCAAAGCTGGTAAAGGTGCAGCTTACTCCAGGTGGAACTAAGAGAGATAAGATAAGATGGTACTTTATTGATCCCAAAAGTCTAATTTAAGTGTTGATTATATTTCACATCATTAATCCAAACCTGTAAAGTATGGTATTAAATAAATGTAGTGGAGTATAAGTACAAAGTTGCAAAAAATGCAAAAGCTCAGGTAAAGTACAAGTATCTCAAATGATACTTAAGTAAGTACTTAAGTACTTAAGAGTAAATGTACTTAATTACTTGCCACCTCTGCTTTGGTACTGTTGCATTCATGTGTTTATTGACAGACATGCAGGGGTTTATATGTATGTTTTGCTTGTTGTAAAATCTCTCATTTTACCTCTGGCCGTCCCCCAGGATCCTCATGGCTTCACCACTAGAGCAAACGTGGAGTCCACCATCATCTAAAGTGTGTGTGTGTGTGTGTGTGTGTGTGTGTGTGTGTGTGTGTGTGTGTGTGTGTGTGTGTGTGTGTGTGTGTGGGTGTGTGTGTGTGTGTGTGTGTGTGTGTGTGTGTGTGTGTGTGTGTGGATTAAATTCAAGAGAATATACTTTTATCATTTTAATCAGTACTTTACAAATGGTGCAACATTTACTAAGTTTGCATACCAATCACTCTGATGATGTGTTCACAGCATATATTTACATATACTAAATACAGCACTGTGTATTGTTATATTGTAGCATAATGTGCACATCTTTACTTTACATTTTTAGCTTTTTAGCTATTTTATTGGACTTTTTTAAAATGTAATTTCTTATATTTATATACATTTTTGTTTTCTTTTTTATTAGATCTTTTATTGGAATTTTTACTTTAACTAGCTTTGTTAATATAAATATATATATCAGGGCTCGATGTTATAAATTGATTATTTAAACACTTAAAAAAAACTAAATAGTAACCCATGAATTCACATTATTTTCCTGTGGTTCTGGTATTTTGTCGAGGAGTTTCAATAAATTGTTTCAGTTATTACCGCTGTTATCATTTAGTACACCTACACTGGGAAAAAGCACTGTTAAATCAACTCAAATAATTAAAAGGTGTTTAAACTTAAAAAAGCCAAAGCCACCTTAAGGTCTTTTCCAGTTCAATTTGTAATGTGTGTGTGTGTGGTGAACCTAGGGTTTTTTGTGTGAATTGAGGGTCCCAGGGGCCAGGGCAGTTGCATGCTTTGCTCTCCAGGTAAAACAGCCTTGAATGCTGCGCCGGCGGGAAATGAACTGCATGGAGTAGCTTCTATTAACATACTTACGTCCTCTGTGTGTTTAAAACTGGTATCATAGTTGGTCAAATATCAGCGATCCTTAGCCTGAGCCTCACCCGTCACCTATGTTTGAAGCTAACATCATTTTCGTGACACACTTTTGTTCTTTGGTTAGTGTCATTTTTTTGAGAATCATTATTTTTCATAATAAAATCATTATGATTAGTAGATTCTGGGAGTCTAATGTCTATGTCCTTGAGCTTTCATAATGGATATTAGCACAAAGGTCAATTAGTCTATTCATCTTTTGAAGTTTGGTATGGTGTACAGGTTTCTTCAACAGCAATGATATTGTAAAACTTTATGATTGGCTTATCTAATCTACATTAAATAATGTTTGTTCACATCATGGTGTCACAGCAGTCACAGTGAAAGCCTTTCAGTATTGATCTGACCTTGGTTGTAAATTCATTAAACATTAGCTTTATAGCTGAGATCAACTGTTTCCTCTGCATGAAAAGTGAAGAGCCAGCTCAACCTATTGTTTCTGATAGTCATGTGAATGTACTGTATCAGTAAATGTTGGTCACTTTATTTATTTATCCTATTTGGGCTATCATTAAACACAAAAACTGCTGAGGTTGGTGGAAACATCCTTAGTTGGCGTATTTGGTCATAAACAAAATAATTGCACATATTGAAATGTTTAACTCACAGTGACGATGCAAAGGAACCAATTGTTGTGCCAGCCCATAAATTAGATGCAGGGTTATTAGTTTGGATAACAAAACCATTTTTGAGCTGATGATGGCTCAAGATGAATAGTCAGCGGGTCAATACAAGTTGTTAGGATTTAGACCTGTTAAAACTTAAAGTAAATCCGTCCTATCTTAAACAAAGGCAAAATGGCCCAAAGAATATTTAGATAGAAAATGCTACGCCCATGCAGCTGGTCCCCTTTATTTGTCTGCTCCTGCCCTTGACACATCCTTAAATTCGCCACTGTCCATGGTTAATGCGTTATCTTATCAAAGGTTCCATTGCTCTTATCAAAAGAAACACTTCTCAGGTTGCACCTTTCACGACACCCAAGGACACCGTACAATTTGTTAAATATTCATAACATGATAAAAACACAAACATACCATCATGGAGAAGACAATTAAAGTGGACACAAATGACAGGGACAGGTTATTCAGGGGAAACAGATGATAGGGAGCGCTACAGTGAGTAGGCTGATCTGAACAGGTGTGTTTTGAGGAGGATCTTGAATGTGGTGATTGTGTGAAAAATAAAACCATAAAACCATAAATCCACTGGCCACCCCTTTACATAGGCTGCTTAAAAGCAACCATTTCCTCTCCTTGACTCAAACTGTTCTACAGCTGTAGAGAAATGGTCTCTAAAACTATTTCCAATGTTCTAAAAGGCATTCTGGTTCTTGTAGTTGTTGCCTCATTGATAGGTAACTGTGTCTTGATATGGCTCAACACCCGAAGGACTCCGAAGTGCCCTGCCCGACAGGTAAACCTAGGACAACCTGTGATGCACGATGAGCGTAGCGCCGTCTTCGCTGACCTCTCAGTGGAAGAGTTTCATCAGGTGAGTGACTACATGACCAAGATCCCAGGGATGAGCATCTCAACTGACCCATTGTCGCCTCCTTCAGTTGACTACCTCTACATGATCGATCTCTCCCTGCCTAAAAAGCTGGATGTTTTAAACCATCTGGATACTAACGGCCCAAAACCGGCAAGAGAGGCAACCGCTGTGGTTTTTCATGGCATGAACAACAACATAAGTGAATATGTGGTGGGCCCGCTCCCCAACCCAACCTACCACTACGATGTCACCTTGGAAAGATATGGAAGGGAGATCCCTTTGACTGCTCGCCCGGTAAATGCTGGGGAACACATTCTGATAATAAAGTTTCTGCAACATGTACTTAAACCAATCAGTACTCTACTGTTAGACAGTTTTGGTATAGACGCATCTGCAAACCCTGCTTACTACCAAAACATGCCCAGTGGAGTCAAGTCCGGTGACAGACAGACCTGGTTTTCCCTTTGTCGAAATGAAGAGGGCTTCTTCATCCACCCTGTAGGTTTTGAGATATTGTGCAACCACAAAAGCACTGATAACATGTCCTGGCTTGTGATTAAGGTGCTTTATAATGGTCAGTACTTCGACAGCATATTGGATCTGAAGAAGCAATACGAGGCAGGAACTGTTCCTAAAATCAGCTACAAAGCTGTGCCGAATTACGCCTCGCTCAAACCCAGGATCAAGCCCACGGGCGTTGGGCCCCAGCAGTTTTACGCCCAAGGAGAGCGATTCAGTATTAAGAATAACCACATCGTATACCTTGACTGGAGCTTTGCCTTTGGTCTGAGCCCTCTACGAGGCATGAGAGTTTTTGATGTTCGTTTTAGAGGAGAGAGGATCATCTATGAGCTAAGCGTTCAGGAGGCCATGTCAGTTTATGGGTCTGTCACCCCAAATCTCATGCTCACCAAGTACCTCGACGGCAGCTTGGGTATTGGTCGGTGTGCCTATGAGTTGGTCAGGGGGGTCGACTGCCCTTATTCAGCCACCTTCATAGACACATTCCACTTGTTGGACACTGGTGTACCACGAAGACTCAGAAATTCAATCTGCGTCTTTGAGCATGACATGGGCCGTCCTCTGCGGAGGCACTTCTCTGAGATTGTCTTCAACAGTTACGGAGGGCTGGCAAATAGCGCGTTAGTGTTCAGGACCATCACAGCTATCGGAAACTATGACTACATGTGGGACTTCATCTTCTACCAGAGCGGGTCAGTGGAGGCCAAGGTCCACGCCACCGGCTACATCGCCTCTTCATTCGCGTTGAAGGACAACTTTCCGTTTGGTCACCAAGTGGCCGAAAATGTCACAGGAAATATCCACACCCATTTTATCAACTTCAAAGTGGACGTTGATGTTTTAGGTGAGTGTAATAGGAATTTTTTTAGGAACTTGAGCATGTCAGAATGCAATTTTAAAAAACTGTAAACAAGCATCATTGGAGAAAGTCAAATGAAAATAAGGTGTAGTCAATGGAATGTGTCTCTTCTCCAGGAGTGGAGAATGTATTCCAGACCAAGGACATGGAGTTTGTGAATGTCTCAATGCCCTGGATGCCTGAACGCTATACCATGATCCCTAAGGTGGTGGAGAAGCAGCTTCAAACAGAGCAGGTATTTAACCCTTGTGTTGTCTTCCTATCAACTTTTGTCCTACCGGTTGGATTATTTATAAAGCATATAGTATAAATAATCACCAAAATCTGTTACACCCTTTAAGGCAACTTTATTCCTAATTATTACAACAAGTTGTACTCTTGTTTTGGGAATGTATGGTCATTAGAACTCATTTACACAAAATCAAACCTCATTTCTGAGTTTAAAAAGGAAACATTTTTTAATGAAGACCTCGACGCTCGTGAACTGTCAACAGGAGGGCGGGGGAGCCTCGCTGCAGGGAAGCAGTGTGTGGACCTGTCAGCGCAACTTACATTAGGGATGCTTAAAATGACTTCCCCCTCCCACTCCTTTCTCCAGTCCGTCTCATTAAAAACGTCGCTGTGCGTCTCTTGTAAAAAGAGGACATCGATATGTTTTATTTTTGCAGTCTGAAATATTAAAGCCCTCTTTCTTTCCTCTCTGGCTTCATTTACATTTAAACTTCCCACTCTAAAAGTATCCATTTCGAGGGAGATGTTAAAAGCAAAAATAAAAACAAATAAATTAAACACAGACATTGAGGTTTTTAAAATCACCGCTGCCCATTTGCTTCCTTACTTTAGTAACAATTATTTTTAGTCTATAAACTTCCAACTCATCCAGGACAGACTGCTCTCTCCGGCTCATGTGGAATCTGGCTGAGGGACAAAACACGGACAAATCTGGGAAATATTCTTCTATGATTACGTTATGTTGGTTTTTTGTCTGCACCAGGTCATTTTTTATCATTTCAGCTGAGTACATATTTCACATCGCTGCTGTCAGACACACAATCATCCCAACTCTCATCCGCCTGTTCTTGCTCTCTTTCTTCCTTTCCCTCACTCACTACTTTACTGCTTTTTGCAACGGTTGATTCATCCTTTTTATTTCTCCTGCGTTTAGTAGCAGTCTTTTTTTTATTTATCATTTCTGTTGCGACCTCCACTTCCTCCATCTCAGCAACCTCCACCTGTTCACCCCATGTTTTCTTCTCCTCTCTTGTTTTGTCCAAATGTGTTTCCCTATCTATATCCTCCTCCTGTGTTTTACTGACTTCACCTGTCCCTACATTTTCTTTTACCAAATCACCTTGTGGTTCATTGATTATTCCAGGTTTTTTTTCACCATTTGTATTTGTTTTTTTATCTTTTTTTCTCCCATCCCCCTTTTCTTCTGCTTCACACAAAACCACTACCTAATTTTCCTGGACATAATCACCCACACCCTGTGCAACACCACCGCACCGCAAGCCGGGCACAGCAGCAGAACCGCGCTGTACAGCTCGACCTCCGACCTCCGCCCGCTCCGCGTTCCCAGACGGCACATCGCGCGCCACCGCCGACTGCTCAGGAGCAGCGTTGCCGTCAGCAGCAGCGGCCGCCTCCGGAGGGGGGCCCTCCACTACCGTAGCGGCCGCGTTAGCGGCCGCCACCGTGGGTGACACCCCTCCCTCAGCAGCAGCCATCTGCTGCTCCATTACAACCGGCGCACCGGCCGCCAGTCCGCCTCGGCGCTGCCACGGGCGGCCTCGGCGCAACGGACAGCCCCGGCGCGGCCGCGGGTGGCCCCGGCGCAGCGGTGGACGACCCCGCCGCTGGCGCATTGGACGGCCCCCGCGCCTCGGACAGGCATTCATGGTGTGCCCCTCCTCTCGCAACCAAAACACTTCATAACTGATGATGTTGCAAAAATCACATAGTCATAATCATCTACTTTAACGTAAAAACGGAGGTTAAGCTCCGCATTCCGATTGTTCAGTATCATATACACTTGTCTACGGTGAGACACTACGTGTTTCAGTAACTGAGACTTACATCCATACAGCATCTTTTTTACGGGAGAAACAAGTTTCCCGTGTCTGGACAGTTCTCTACTGAGGAACTCATCAGTTATGAAGGGAGGGACATTAGACAGTACAACTTTGGTTGCGGGAAGCATCAGCGGCTATACTTGTACAAACATTTCTCTCACCACGATGCCCGTCTCGATGACGCGGTTCACCTTCTCCACCTGATCCAGAAAGATCACCACCGCGCTATTCATCCACGCCAGGGACTTAATGCTGCTGTGCCCGACCTTCTCTCCCACAGCCAGCCCGATCTCCTCCACAGTGCATGGGAAGCCGGCTGAGATTTTAATGCCGTGCTTCCTCGTGAGTTTGGCAAACTCTCCATTTACCATGGCGTCAGATGCCGGCCGGCGAGACACCGGCAGGAGAAACCCACAAACACCACCAAAAAGCCCGAAAAGTAAAGCAAATCACCACCACCGATAAACTATATTAAATGAACACCCATTACACCAAATAAATGGAAAATATAACGAAAAAGTCTCGCTCTTCTCTTTCTCTCACACCTCAAAATCTCCCAGCATGCACCAGAAGAAGAAGAAGAAGAAGAAGAAGAAGAAGAAGAAGAAGGGTAAAGTCTAAATGGTCACTTCCAGCCAAAGTATCTTACATGTTTTATATATTTGGTTTCCCACAGGAGGCAGCTCTGCGTCAGGACACCAAGACTCCACGCTACCTCCACATCGCCAGTAACAAGACCAACCGCTGGGGCCAACAGCGCTCCTACAGGCTGCAGGTGTTCAGTTACACAGGGGACCATCTCCCCGAGAGCCAGGCCGAGGAGAGGGCCATGTCCTGGGCCAGGTGAGGAAATCAGTCTCCCTGAGGGAATGACAGACCTGAGGCCACAGCAGCTACACAACATAGCTCAGACCAGAAGTGATTCCTCTTCATTTTTACCCTTTTCTTTTTACAGAAATTAGTTCCGTTCTAGTTCCAGTGCTGGGGCTAGTTTGGTTCTGTTGGTTAAACTTACTTTAAACCATTAAAGAACCAGTTTGCTTTCCACAGACCAGAGCCCCAGATGAGCCACATCATGATGTCACAGCTTACAATGCTGCAAAGCCAGTGTGAATATTCCTCACAATAACAACAATGGCGGACTACATTGGAGCTGTGCTCATGTTGCTTTAAACTTACGAAGCCAGATTTTATTAAAAGCTCGGCTTTTTGAGCTTGATACTCTCCAGGGTGACGTTAGTATTCAGTACAGTTCAGCGGCACTTGACAACCGCAGGAGTCGTACAGCGCTCTAGCTCCACCAATGCTAGTGTTTGGCAATATAATGCCGTAAATAAGGATTGTATAATGTGAATTTACCTTCATATGGCATAGATGATTTTAGCATAGCCAATCAACCAGATCTGAATAAACAATAACAGGATTTAGGGCAGAAAATCCAAATTGCACTTGGGCAGACATATGGCATATTAATTATTTACCAAAAATGCTTTGAATGAGTAAGTACAAAAGTATAGCAAAGGATGTTTTAATTAAAAGTCCGGGCTATACTACTTCTTCTGAAACGTTTCTACTCTCAAAGATCTGCTGTAGCTCCACCTCATCCTCTGACGTCTGCCGCTTCCTGATGGTCTATCTCTAGCAGATTGGTAGTTCTGAAGTTGAACATGTTTTCAGGGACAAGATCCAGCAGCACTGCAGTGGAAACACAAACAACTGGTTGGCAATCAGGCACCACCTCTGGAACCATCTGGGTGGAAAAGGAGTGTTTGTTCACCGGAATCTCATTCATCTTTACCTCCCCAGGTATAAGGTGGCCATCACAAAGCAGAAGGACTCGGAGCAGAGCTGCGGCAGTCTGTACAACCAGCATGACATCTGGAATCCAGCTGTGGACTTCAGCAAGTACATTGAAGACAACGAAAGCATCGAAAACCAGGCGAGTGTTTGGGGTGGGCTTCTCATTTGAAAACCTTCCTCACATTTAAAAAGAATGTCCTTGCCTAATCCAACCTCTTTTTTTCATTTTCCCTAGGACCTAGTTGCCTGGGTGACCACCGGCTTCCTTCACATCCCTCACGCCGAGGACATCCCCAACACGGTAACCGTAGGCAACGGGGGCGGGGTCCTGCTGCGGCCCCACAACTACTTTGACGAGGACCCGTCCATCCACTCTGCTGACTCGGTGTACCTGGCCCCGGGCAGCGAGGACAGCTGTGACAGCAACAGGATGGCCTGCCTTGCTCAAGAGACCTGCAGCCCCGTCCTGGAACCCTTCACCTACCACGGCTTTAAAGTAGAGACGAGAGGGAAGAATTAACATGTGATTCTTCCTTTGTTTTGGTGCTGTCTCTTTGATCATCATTTTGTTTTTGGAAAATTACGTCATAATAATGTTGATTAATACATTTGTAATTATATTTCAACATACACTTAAGTAAGGATGATGATGGTGTATATATGTGTGTGGCTCTATGGATTACAATGACAGGTTGTAAATAGAGTGGTGCAGTGAGGACGTATTTCAGGCCGACCCAGAAGCGACTAAAAGCAAAGGGGACTTTCCAATGGATTTTAGATTATTGCTCTGTGGCAATCATACATGTATGATATTTACACGTTTTTTTCAGTAAGATAATCTCAACACATTAACACACATTTTATAATAGTTGAAGCATAAATGTTAGAAGTGAAGGCTAACGTTAGGCTATAAATTAAATATTTGTTTACGGTTGCACAACCGCTAAGCTAAAGGCGGCTAATGTTCGACACAATGACGTTTAGTTGTCTCATTTAGACATTTGTTAGCTTTCACTGTTTTAGAGTAATACCCTCTACATACAATTAAACTTTAACCTATGTTATAAATAGTCAATTACTTGATGTAAGTAACTTCTTGGAGAAATGTTCTGGGCCAATCCTTGTATTGATAACACTTTTTTTTTGTATTTCCTTTCTTGTAAAGGAGTGGAATTGAGTGTCCAGAAGTCTCTGCTTCTCTAAAAATAAGTAAATGATTGACAGTTTGTGAAATACAACCAGGAGCTGCTTCCCTGTGAGGCCACTGATGAATTCTGTTTTTTATTGGTTCATTTGACACCCATTTACCGATTTACGAATTATATGAACACAGGAAGTTATTATTGAATTGATGTACGTTGCAGATTCGATACAAAATATAATTTTTTACAGTAAATCCATAATGTCTTACTTAATATGAAGTGCTTAAATAAAACATTGAAAACACTCATTCATTTGCTGGTTGTTCATATTTTGTGATATAATTTGAGCTGGCTGCCACTGAATTGTGCTTTTTGGCTACAAGGGGATTTACATGTATGTTCCCCTCATAGAATGTATTAGAAAAGATAAAAATTCTCGAAACGTATTTTACTACAATAATAAGGTTTTCTATCTATTTTCTTCTGATAAGCAGTAAGAATCTGTCGCTAAGACCTGAGGCCTGTACGACGAAGCCGGATTTTCGCTTAGCGGGCTAACTTCAGGGAAAACTCTGGATTTCCGGTCCTACGACGCTGGTTCTCTTTTTAGCGGGCTAGATCTCCATGGTAACCAGGGGCCTATACTATGAATCAAGATTTTCGTTTAGCAAGCAACCTTCTGGGATTTCCGGTCCTACGAAGCTGGTTCACTTTTTAGCGGGCTAGATAACTTATTCTGAACGGCTAGCCTGCGCCGGAGCAGGATAGGTTCCAGGAAAGAGATCAACTGTGCGGAGTTCTTCTTCTTCTTTGCTTTAATGGCGAATCGCGTCCACTTGGAGCATATCCCCACTATACTGTTGATTTATTTAATGTATAAACTGCCCATATTGTTCTTGTAGAACAGTGTTCACGCAAGCCTGCACATTGATTTTATTTTTCATTGAATGTAACCGTTTCAATAAGGATACATCTATTACAGGTTGAGGTAGAAACCGTGGTGGAACAGCTGATAACAACAGTGTGCAGAGTTTAAAGCGATCAAGTCATATTACAGGAGAAAGGAAATACAGTTTAAACTTCCGTTGCAGTTCAAATCACCGACTGTGTGAACGTGAAAATTAATATAATATCACCTCCCATCTTCAGAGCAATCTGACTATTATAACATTAGCGTTAAGAAAGCTTACTTAAATATCTGCCACAACATAAGTAACCGGATCAGAGTAACATTAAGTACAGTCCGCGGCACTGTGAGTGCAGACGTCGATGTGTCCCATTATCATTCATATCACATCATAATGTATCACATATTTCCTTATCTGAGTCAGCTGAGCCGTATCTGGCCGTGCAACACTCACAGTGTCACAGACTGTATGCAGAAGTATTATTTTAAGCAACACATTAAGTTGACGAAACACTCGAGTCAAATGTAATTAAAGTCAGATCGTGTTTTAGACGGGGCCGTGATATCATAAACCTGTTAATGAACGCATTCAAACACTTGTTCTGTTACCAGCTGTATTCACCTTGCAGGTGCAGCTCTGTGGCTTTTATCCTGGATAAAGTGTTTAAGTCATGGATGTTTAAAGTTTAACTTCTTCATATGTCTAATATTAAAGTTCACTTTTCATTCAGGAAGTATGACGCTGCGCTGTCAGTGCGCTTCTCCATGTTTGTGATTGGTCGAATGCTCCAGATACCACCCCTTTCATGTGAACGCGCACCTAACTAGATAGGACACGGCTGGCTTGAGTGAATGAGTTGATAGCCAGCGTCGTAGGACAGTTTAGCGAGAGCGGGTTTGTTTTGGATTAAGTCAACCAGATAACTCAAAACATATCCAGGATAGGTTGAACTAGATTCGTAGTACAGGCCTCTGTAAGTATTCATTGTTGTTTGTGTATTTATGATGTTTAAAACAAACAAGGTATCTACCACGACTGTTTAAATGGGTAAATGTTTTTCGGGCTGCTATGTTGGGATGGCGGAGAAATGCTCTCTGCAGACCCATTCTCACAGCGTTATAAACCTTCTTCTTACTCAATATCAAGCCACACTTATTGTTTTTACTTCGGCTGTGAGTGTTTATGTGTGCTCAGGATGAGTTTTGCTTGTTCTCGCTGTATCGCCGACCCGGAAGCCTGTCCGTTCCTCGCAGCAGCTGCGAGCAGCAACGAGCTTCTCAACGTCTTGACCAATCAGAGCACACTGGGCTCACAAGGAGGGGGGGCGGGGGAGGGGGGGCGTTTAAAACCTATACAAGCATAGCTTTCAGAGAGGAAAGCAGGTGACATTTGGCTGGATGATGAAATGAGTGTGCGTTAAAACCTGCTGTAAAGTTCTACTATTTGGAAAACATGGCTATAATTACTGCTCAACTATACCTGTGTTTGTGTTTTATTGATTTCTATCTGTTTTATTCTTTCATGTTATGAGTACTAAATTGCCACAACATTTTGGAGTAGTTGGCTTAAACAGATGTGTGTGCGTTAAAGGGGAATGAGTGTGCGTTCTGTCATGACTCCAAAGCATTGTTATGGGACTGCCTGAGGGCAGAGGGACATAAGAGGTTTCTCAATACTCAAATTCCCCCTCCTCGACTCCTCGACTCCTCGGTCCTCCGGTAGTGACCCGGAAAGGAATTTCAGCGCGCCATGTTGAAGGACATCTCATTTCTCTAAATGCATTTCGAGGACCGAGGATCGAGCGTCGAGGAGGCTCTCTGGAGGAGCTCTAACCGAGGAGACACTGATGGTTCCTCCACGGCTCCTCCACGGCTCCTCCACGGATGCATTTCCGGGAACGGTGGAGGCGTGACGCACGGCCGGACTTATCTCAGCCAATGACAGCTCTGCATGCATCCCCTGGATATTATATTAGTAACTGCTTTCATCGCAACGCGATGTTTCCAGAGAGAACAGCTGTGAGGTCCGTGCAGAAAGCAGAGCAGTGTGTATAATATATATCACTCAGTATAACAGGCCTACTCTTTTTATTTGCTTTAGTTTAGTAGATATCTACAAACAAAGAGTCGATATTTTTATAAAACCATTTAGTGCTTCACATAATAAAATACACAACGGCTGTAGCCTGATTATGCTTTAGGAGCTGTAGGTGTGTGTTGGTACAGTGTGTAGGTGTGTGTGGTACAGTGTGTAGGTGTGTGTGGTACAGTGTGTGGGTACAGTGTGTAGGTGTGTGTGGTACAGTGTGTAGGTGTGTGTGTGTGGTACAGTGTGTAGGTGTGTGTGTGGTACAGTGTGTAGGTGCGTGTGGTACAGCGTGTAGGTGCGTGTGGTACAGTGTGTAGGTGCGTGTGGTACAGTGTGTAGGTGCGTGTGGTACAGTGTGTAGGTGCGTGTGGTACAGTGTGTAGGTGTGCGTGTGGTACAGTGTGTAGGTGTGTGTGTGTGGTACAGTGTGTAGGTGTGTGTGTGGTACAGTGTGTAGGTGCGTGTGGTACAGTGTGTAGGTGTGTGTGTGGTACAGTGTGTAGGTGCGTGTGGTACAGTGTGTAGGTGTGCGTGTGGTACAGTGTGTAGGTGTGTGTGTGTGGTACAGTGTGTAGGTGTGTGTGTGTGGTACAGTGTGTAGGTGTGTGTGTGTGGTACAGTGTGTAGGTGTGCGTGTGGTACAGTGTGTAGGTGCGTGTGGTACAGTGTGTAGGTGTGCGTGTGGTACAGTGTGTAGGTGCGTGTGGTACAGTGTGTAGGTGTGCGTGTGGTACAGTGTGTAGGTGTGTGTGTGGTACAGTGTGTAGGTGCGTGTGGTACAGTGTGTAGGTGTGCGTGTGGTACAGTGTGTAGGTGCGTGTGGTACAGTGTGTAGGTGTGCGTGTGGTACAGTGTGTAGGTGCGTGTGGTACAGTGTGTAGGTGCGTGTGGTACAGTGTGTAGGTGTGCGTGTGGTACAGTGTGTAGGTGTGTGTGTGGTACAGTGTGTAGGTGCGTGTGGTACAGTGTGTAGGTGTGCGTGTGGTACAGTGTGTAGGTGCGTGTGGTACAGTGTGTAGGTGCGTGTGGTACAGTGTGTAGGTGTGCGTGTGGTACAGTGTGTAGGTGTGTGTGTGGTACAGTGTGTAGGTGTGTGTGGTACAGTGTGTAGGTGTGTGTGTGGTACAGTGTGTAGGTGTGTGTGGTACAGTATGTAGGTGTGTGTGTTGTACAGTGTGTAGATGCGGCGGACAGACGGGTCTCAGTTGGGTTAGTGTCTATGCTTACTTTTAATACTTGTACAACTTTTGGCCCGTAATTTCAATTCCCCATTTCAGCGACCAGAGAGAGGGGGGGGATATATCCAGTCTCTGATTGTGTTACGTTATTATGAGAGTGCTCTCATACTTGTTTGATTCTGAAATTGTATATATTTATATAAATATATGTGTGTGTGTATGTGTGTGTAAGTGTCCGCATCTGTAGCCTGTTATTGTCTCATTATACCGCACTGTGAATGAATCAAAGTAATTATATAAGTGGTCATGAACACATCTGTCCATCAGACAGAGAGCTGCTGTGCCTCCTGTCATCATTAATGGACGTCTCTTTAAAATGACCGCTCAGAGGAGAGGAGTT